ATAGTTTTTTTTATCTTTGGTTCTTTATATACGTACAAGCTGCGTTTGTATTTATGACTTTGTATAACATTGGGCTAATTTTTTTAGCCAATATGGTCATCCAGTTAACTTCTTCTTAGCTATATCCATTTAGATGGTCTTTTGTGGGCTGGTAAGTGAACGTTTTTTATGCTAAACCAGCCAGTGCCGTTGGTGCGGATACGACCGTACTACGATAAGTTTTAAGCAAACTGGAAAAGCTTTAAAAACTGACTGTTTAAGATTAGCGTTCCCTTTTCAGGGTCCTGGTAAATGATCACTGCGTCGAGTGGCATACTTACTACAATAAAATGACTGCTCGCCTTCAGTTAATCAATTTTCAGTAATCACCTCATGCAACACGAATAGGCGGTCACTGCTCCACTCCCAGATTGCTTGCTGGATGGCTTGTTTGGATACTGCACAACAGAATGGCGTTCCAGAATAGGCAAGGCACATGTGAACACTGCTCGGATGACCCTCGCAGACTGCCAGAGTAATTGCCACATCGTCGGACTTTCCCACCTGGAGACCAAAATGTCCATTGAGGTAGTCTGAGGTGACGGAGACCAACTCCATTGACTTTATCTTTCCGGGTAGGCGCGATACTGGTATAAAATTCTGAAATACAGCAGAAATTCTTTACTTGGGGCCATCTCAAGGTAAGGTATCCTGAATCTCATGGGACAATGCTAAATAACACGAGCGAATTTAATTTATTTAAAAATGCTGATGTTTGCAGGCTGATTTATGTGGAAATGACTTCGTCTCATTCTGCCTTCATACAGTCAGTCAGCAATTTCGATGAGTTCCACCGTATACTCCACAACAGGGTGTTACAGGGATGGTGAATTGCGCTTGGATTAGTTTTAATTGATAGCGGACTTGCGCGGCATGATCTCATCCCTCACCGACTTAGTACCCGGTGTCAAGACACAGTCAAGAAGGTCGAAGACGCGATCAGACGAAGGTAGCTGACGCAGCCGAAGCCGGTCCAATGCGTGCAACTACGCCGTTAGAAGTGATCGCAGGGTTGACTTGATAATGTGTGAATGTCTGTTCACATGCATAAGTAGATCCAAACAGGGTCAATATAGCGATACTTACACGCTGCAGTGTGTGGTATGTGACATAAAGCGTGTTCCAAGTTTTAATTATCACCTGGTCTTCTTGTTGAAGTTTTTTTAAATTTATGTCCATATGTGTTCGCTTGCCAGCTGCATTTTATATTGTGCGAATGGACTGTTTGCTTGCGTGTGATAAATGCGTCCGCTTGGGGGACATAAACACAAGGGACTATAGGTGACAAGGCAGGCTGACCTATGCGTGTAAGGTAGCCTTGTCTGCCAACATGACCTTGACTTAGCTGAGGTCAAGTCTGGGGGTTGTCGTGCTTTAGTAGAGCATCCGTTAATTAGCGAGCTTGTCGCGGCCATTGGGACGCAGGAGAAGCAGGGAAGCAACCGCTGTCGGCTAACCGGAGAGGGAACACCGAAACAACTGCTAGGTCAAACGTAGGGGGGGGGAGGAGAAACACCAGAGATTGGTCGAGATTGAATTGATTCTAATACGCGTCTCGGCAACGG